TGTCTTAAACATATATATATATTTTTAAAGTGACAACTTAATCCACCGAAATTTGTCCACTTTTTAAAAATTATTATTATTTGTTTATAGAATTAATTGACCTGCTTGAACTGATGCAAAATCTGTAAGATATGTCTACGTCATTTCATCAAAATCCCCATCATTCAATAAATCAATACTTTTTCATCCACCACATCTCTCTAAGTCTTTTTTTTTCATAATTTTTCTTCTACTTGACATGAACACTGTTTCATATTTTATTAAATTTCTGAAAAAAAACCCACAATGTAATCACTGTACAACTTTAAACTTGACCGATATCTTAACTATTTTGTGTCATTTAAATGTATAGTATAGAAAATTTAAAGTGTATTTTTAAGTGCATTCGATCGTATACAACACAGATAATCAGAACAGCCAAATCTAGTTAGATACAGCTTGTAAAGATACATAAGAACACGAATCAGGAAGATTTTTTGGAAAGAAACTAAAACAATAAAATAATTAAACTACTTTTCACACTGGAGTATTTAAATTCTTGGTGATCTACAGATTAAATGGTACATTTTTATAACTGTGCGTTTTCCTATATCAGTTTACTGTCAGTGTTTCATTGTGTGTGTGTGTGTACTTCGTCTTAATTTTGCTTTTACTAACTCTAAGGGTAAAAAGAAATTGGGGAGATAATTACAGACACGCTTACCGTACTTACCCCAGTTAAATTTTTAGTCGTGGAGATTTCAGACTAGAAAACGTTTGTATTTACACCTGAGTTTGTAGCAGACCTTAGCAGACGGCGACGCCAACGCATTTAGGCAGCGCCAACTGAAATCGCTCGCCACGACGACGACAACTCAATAGGAGACCCACAAGTAGTTTTGAGCGGCACGGTCCGGTATTGTGGCGCCGAACCTACAAAACGCGTACAACACAGGGGGGCCCCGTGGCGCCCTCCCTTTACGGTACGCGGGCCATGTCATCCAGCGTTATAAACTAGAACCCTATTATTCAGATTTTATCGCAGTGTATTTATCGAAAGAACTACCGCATCACTCCTGATGGAATTATTTCATTGTCAGAATGCCTATGATTCAAAAGACCTTGTTTGCCATCTTAGTCGTTTCCCTCAACATTTCGGTGCACCAAAAGTAATTGTGCTGAATATAATTTGAATTCATTGCATTGTTATTATTTAAATATGTCTAAACGTATTTGCTTGATTACACCAATAAATTATTTTTTTTGTTATTGTTAGACTTTGTCGATGATACTTCTGCCGAGGAAATGTCTGGCAATGAAATGATTGTCAATGAAATGTCTGTCGATGATACTTCTGTTGACGAAAAGTCTGTCATTGAAATGTCTGTCAATGAAATGTCTGTCAATGAAATGTCTGTCAATGAAATGTCTGTCAATGAAATATCTGTCAATGAAATGTCTGTCAGTGAAATGTCTGTCAATGAAATGTCTGTCAATGAAATGTCTGGCAATGAAATGTGTGTAAATGAAATGTTTGGCAATGAAATGTATGTAAATGAAATGTCTGGCAATGAGATGTCTGTCAATGAAATGTCTGTCAATGAAATTTCTATGGATGAAATGTCTGTCGATGAAATGTCAGTCGATGAAATGCCTGCCGATGAAATGTCTGTCGGTGAAATGTCTGTCAACGATGTTGAATTTTTTGCCAATGAAGTGGCTTCGATGAAGTTGTTGTCGTTTAAAAAAGTTGTCGATGAAGTGTCATGGAATCCCTTTCCTGTACATAGGAGATCTCAGCGGTACTGACTTCACAAAAAAATAAATAGTGCATCTAAAATCTCAACATTTATATGAATGTGAATCTAAATGTTAACATTTATATTAATCTGCATCTAAAAATTTTTTGATGCAAACTTAGAATCATTCTGATTATCCTAACATGCTCACTGCCCTTAACGAACTCAAAATACTGACTCCCCTTAACTGACTTAACATACAGACTGTCCCGTATTGACTCCTTTATAACGCCCTGTATTGAATAGCTTCGTCGCGGGCTTCTGAATTCCATTTCAAAATAAAATTAATGTATATAATTTTCCCCTGTTCACCTTTCATAAGGCGTTTGTCCCCCAAACACTGTTGACGTAGTCTGTTGAACACAGCCTTAACCCCCCCCCCCCACCTCCCTCCCCAACCCCTCCAACTAAATTTATTCCCAGAGCAAGATGAGTTCAGTGACAGCCAGATGATAATTATTTCCCAGGATGTAACGGGCCAGAGTTCGAACTAAGGTTATTGTGACATTTGCGGCCTTGACGAGTCAAACACTCTGGCAGACTCAGAGCTTGCTAAACCAGGATACGGGAGTTTATAATTAAAAAAAAAAAATTCCTTATAATTTAGAATTTAGATCATTCTGCAATTCATTTAATTCATTGTAGTATTTTATTAATAGCGGACACCTATAATTGGATACCTAATCCTCAATAGATAATCTAAATGGATATCTTTCAAGTATTTTATACATAATGAATACACATTAAATATTGTATCTACTGTGGATATTCTAACATATTTTATTCTCACTGGATAAAAAAAAAAAGTATTATTATCTAAAGAAGATACCCTTAACGAAATGTAACGAAAGAGAATACTCTTAAATAAGGGACATGGCCAGTGGGGAGTCAAGAATTCAAACATAAACGAAATGAACTTGTTTTCTGAATATGAACCGCGGCTGATGAATTGGAGGTAGAAGAAAGTTGTACAAAGTAACCGGTGTTTGGTAAGGTGGAATGGGCTTGGGGGGCGTAGGAGTGGGGCGGTGGGTGGGCTTGGTAACGAGTTTAAGTGTGATCACTAATTCAGCCCCCCCCCCCCCCCCCCCCCCCCCCCCCCCCCCCCCCCCCCCC